CTACGCGCGACGCCGCGCCATAGTGTTCCCGATCAGAAATCGGCAAGAGAAGAGCAGTCTTCGACGGCTAGAGTACACAAACAAGATGTTGCTCGAGAAGTTAGTGAGGAAATTTTCGATGAGAGAAATTCAACTCGAAGCACGTCGAATAATGAGTATTCAAGTGTTTCTCTGAGAAAGCCTTGTGAAGAGAAGTGTGCATCGGACGTAACCACATCAAGACCAACTGACAATCAGACGTATTCGGAGCTGAGTAAGACGGCATTCTTTTCAAATCAGAGCGAGGATGGTTACTACGAGAAAGCTCTGGAAGAGAAAGCCTCAGACAGGATCGCCTTCAGCGAACTCACCTCGAAAAGTCACATCACGAAATCTAGCACGCCAAAATCTAAAGCTGCCTCAATGGCATGTGCTGTCGAAGAAAGTGAGAATATGACGGCTTCAAAAAGCGAAAAACTTCCGGAAGGAAAGCTCCCAGAAGATACTCGCAGTGGCACAACATCGCAGGAGAGTACCCTCGATACCCGCAACAAGGAGACGGGAGAAGTCAGCGGCAAGAGCAGAGGGACATCAAAACCAATTGAAAGCATTGGTACCATGAGCGAAGAACTGCTACCCGTTCTTCAAAAAAGAACTGTGTCCGAAAATGCGAAATTAGCACGCTCCACATATTCATCCATACCCCAGCTGTCTGTCATTTTCTCTGAAGAAGAAGGAAGCGCTACGGAAGGCGAAGAGAGTTCCTCCGCGATGTTCTGTTTGTCCATTTCAAACACTGTAAAAGTTGCTGAAACCTTTGTTATCATGACGCCTCAACCTCAGCAGATTTCACCTGCTCAGCCAAGGAGTGGGGTTTCGGATGAGAAGGAAACTACTTCGAAGTCGATCAAAGCGGATGAGCAACAAGCCAAACAAGTTCAGGAATCGTCCCTCCAAAAGAAGGAAGTGGCTAAGAAATCGAAGCCTTCAAATGTCAAATATTTATCAGACGAGACAGAGAAATTACTCAAGAAGAAGGCCAAAATGTCTGAAAAATATCTGAAAGGTAGTGAGAATGACTTTGGCGACCAAAGCACTGATCAGATGGCGGATTTCGGAACGGACTCAGATGCGACCATGGAACAATCCGACAATGAGATCTCACGAAAGGTTGCAGTCCAAGAGCGTCTTCAAGCTGACTTCTTCAGCAGGTGGGTATTGCTGAAAGGCAGTGGGCACATTCACTGGAGGCGAGGGGTCGTTGCCAGCGTCATTGGTGGGAGGACCATGAGAGGGCTATTAGCCACTCCAATCAGCCCTTCCACCTATGACGTTTCCAATACCCCTCCCCCCCCAGCAATTGTACTCACTGTCTTAGGGGTAATTTGTTAGAGTGAGTGAATTGCCAAGGTTCTGATTTTCAGCGCTCGACAAGACAAGTGGAAGTGAGAAGAACTGTAGAGCGCCTGTGTTCAGAATCAAGAAGCAGACGGTGAAATGCACAGAGGGCAATCCGCTATCAGTGAAGGCATTCATTTCGGCCCACCCGGAACCTTCCGTACGAAGCCTTCCTTGTGATACCTATCACTACCACGGTAATGACGCAATGTTTTTCAGATATCTGTATACCACAACGACGATCTGATATGCGCTAATCGGGCTGAATCACTAGTGAAGGAAGGAGACGATCTCTACAGTTTCACTTTCTCTGTCGACTCATTGCATGTGGAGGACGGAGGGAAACTCACGATAAAGGCTAAAAACCAGCTGGGAACTGACGAATTCGTTGCGCATATCGATGTTGCAGAGGAAACGAAGCAAAAGGTAAGGCGCTGAGCCTTGTTCTTTAAAGGCGAGCTCCGTGACCAAATGACCGGGATTTACTCTTTCCAGCTGAGAAGAGTTGCCTGGTTACAAGGGCAAGCAATTGGCAGTACTAGTTATGCAAAAGCGAAGACGCGGGGTTGGGTGGCAACAAAGCGAGCGATGAGAGGAGCGCGAGACCGTTCGCTTGCCTTTCATCGGGCGCCGACCGCGCCCTTCATGCCCCGCCGATCGCTATAGGCCCGTTATGTGACAGTCTTAATGATCTTTTGGCAATAATTGCTGTTTCTGCAGACCATGTACGCAGACAGATAGAGGGTTGCCACTGGAATAGATTGCCGTAAAGCAAGAAATTCTTTAGAGTAGAGAAATCTGAGTGTAAAGACACGAGGAGGAGACAGTGCGGACTGAGAGAATGGAGGTTTCGTTTGTCACTTGAGAAGGCGCTCTGAGAGGCCACTCAGAGAGTCTATGAGCGAGAGAGGTGAGAGAGAGTGCAGGGAATTTGAAAGGGTGAGCCGGAGTAGAATGGCGATAGACCCGAGATGAATTTGGCGAGGAGAGGAGAGACGAGAGAGAGGCACACGCTTTCGAGAAGGGATAGTTGAAGCGTACTTGGAAGTGCTCTACGGTCACCTTGGCGGCTGTATTGCGCTGCACGTGAGAAAATTAGCGAGGAGAATGGCGGACGGGCGCAGCAGAGATTGATAGCGAGTCAGGATGGTTAGGCACTGATAGAGTAGAGAGAGGAGCGTAGGAGAGGTCTATGCACGCGGCGACTGAAGATCGAGAGGAGCGCACCGCAGATACATATCAAACTGGCTTCTAGATATCCTCAACGTCGAGATCGAGCGTAGAGCGCCGAGCGCGTTTATCGTCGGGCTATTATTACGGAGTGAGAGGGAGCGGGTGCGTGTGGTTGGGTGTTTGGAGGAATGAAGTAGCGAGTATTAGAAATGTGCATCTGACATTGAAAGGTAAGTGTGACTTAGGAACTGGATCCTGTCGCGGTGATGACAGACGTCTCGACTTAGCCGGCAGAGCGGGAAAGGGAAATGTACGGATCATGGTCCAACTATCCGGCACTCGAGAGAGGGAGAGTGAGGTGAGCTCGTCCTTCACGTTGGTCATAGTGTAGTGAATAAATATCTTTCTGTCGTACAGTCTCTACCTATTCAAATTCCGCTGGGCAGTCCTATTTGAAGCAGAATATCTGATGCCAGCGATAAAAGGGGCAAAGGTGATGTATTGGCAAATGGCACGCTTACCACCCGGGCGGTCCCTGATTCGAATCCGGGCTTGACTCCCGCCCAGGCCAAAAAATTGCCAAGCGCGGCAAATCGTTTTAGAATGTAAAGGTAGCGGGCTTGCTGGCTGGCTGTTCGCTGCTCCCACGGGTCAACTGGACGCATTGAGCCCTTCGGACCAGCTGACGTTCGGAAGCTAAACGCACCTGAGCCCTTTGCAATTGCACGCACTGCCTTTAGCTCGTCGCTTGAATAGTGAAGACATCTTGATCATAAGCTTATTCAGGATATTCGAAATACGACGCATTTGAACATGAATTTGAAGCAGCCGAGATCACCACTTCAGTCGCGGATGTGTGCGTTTCCAGCGGACAGACAGCAAGGTTTGATCGCTTCGTGCAGAGGACCTTCACTAACATTATACAAATTTAGACAGATACAGATTTGACGATTCCAGATTACAAGGGAAGATGTGCGGTTACCCGATTCCGGAGATGATTTGGTTGAAAAATGGAGTAGAAATTAATCCCGCGCTCCATCCCGAGAAATACAGCATTGACGTTCAACCCGGTATGGCACAGTAATGTCCTTCTGCTGAACAAAACTGGTCAGTTATTTCTCTAATTATCTTTCTTCTCTCTATATGAACATTCACAATGGAAATTGCGGACTGTAATCCTAATGACGATGATGTCTATGCTCTGCTTGTGGAGAACATGGCCGGTATTGACAGCTGTGATTTCCAAGTTTTCGTGAGCAGTTCAGGTAAAGAGCCACCATTACTAGTTCGCGATATTTTCTCGAGAGAGCGTTCATACATTGACCTCTTCCTTATCGGATTCATTCTACGGGAAGTCTTGCTATCGATCCAGCTGACGCAAAGTATGAAAGCACTTTAGGGCTGCTGCTTACCAAGGAAGGTCAACAGGTCGCCTGGCCGTTCAAGATGAGATGCACATATCGACGTGTACGTCTCGGGACTGAACTCAATCTGCTTCCATTTGAAACGAACGATCCTCTATGAGGAGTTAGGGGGAGGGGGGGTTGTTTTAGCATAGCACTCGCCGATTCTCCTTTGCGTAGCTCAAGTTAGTTCGAGCCACAGACGGATTCAGGCGGTGGATGGTGTAGTGGATAAGTAGGTTGCTTCATGGTTGGAAGGTAAAGGGTTCGATTCCTTGACAAATTCGGGTCTTCGCATTTTTTCGGAACATCTTCCGGATTTTGTTTTTCGTAGTTGCCCCTGTCGTTGGCGCGTTTATTGGGGGTGTTTTATGTCCGAGAAAATATCGTTTTAAGTGCGTGTATTTTGTCAGGCATGGCTTCTTACTTGCAGCAGGAAAAGGCTTAAATAGCAGGCATTGTGCTTGCTCATTTCAAGAACTTTCTAGGTAGTGTTCACCCTTGACTGCCCAAATCATCCGGAATCAGGCAAGTTTTTGGCCGACTTTTTCTGCGTAAGCAGAATTGGTTGAAAAGTTGCCTACTAGGGTAGTCTGCCTCCTGGACACAAATATCCCGTTAGCTGAGCCCGGAAATGCCTGGCGCCGGCGCAAATATCAACATCACCAAAAACCAATAAACTCTTCAACTGGAGCAGTTTGACCTCCTAAAAACATGATCATCACATCTGTGTGGATAGAGGAACGATAGAGACGTTTGTGCATCGGAACAAGCATGTGATGGGTCGCTTGTGGCTTATGCGTCAGGCGGTTTCAGACTGTACGGATGTGATGATTCTGATTTAGGCGGGTCGAAACTAAGCGCCGCAGTTCGCTCGCACTCGCTCGGTCGTTCGCTCGTTCAGCAATTTTGAAAGCAGATTTGAGTTCAGCATTCCGAGGCGCACACGTGGGTATGCATCTCATGTTGAATGGCCATGGCGACCTGTTGACCTTCCCTGGTTAGCAGATAAACTAGCCCCCCTTGGCGGAGTGCCGAGTACAGATCAGGCCTGACTTACGATGGGTCAGACGACAGGTGCAATACGTAAGACAATTCCTGCACGACAGTGCGGCGAGGTCGCGATTTGGGCTTGTCGTGGCTTTTTTTTTGGATTGTTTATTTTTCCTGTATGACGCACGGCTTACACCCCTTGGGATAAGCATCTAGAGAAGAATTCTATAAAGTGGAGGAGGGGGACGTAGTTAGCCTTGCTGCTGGAGAGAAAGGTGTACTTGACTTCTGAATTTTGATCCTTGGTTTTTCCGTTTATGTGCATCGTTGCATCGCTGCTATGTGCATCGTTGGGAGTCCTAATTTTACAAAACGAATATTTAGAGGCAGGCGGTTACTGCCAGCGTTATTGGTAAAGGGCTGACTGGTGGTTTTAGCACGGACGCCCTCGCAACAATACCTCACCAATGACGTTAGGCTCAAACGCCCACCGCCCACCCACATTGTCCCACTGGCGCCTGTGATTTATTATTGTTCTCTTATTAAGTGTGACATTTTCAGCATAATCAGGCAGCAATTGCCATAAAGTCGCCAGAGGAAGATTTGCGCAGATTTGAATCGGCAGCGGACGTAGCCTCTTTGAGCGGTGAAATCGAGAAGGTAAAGGTTCAGAAAGAAGCAAGAGAATTGCCGCAAGGGCTATGAATCCGAAGGGTATGCTGAGTGTTCTGAGTGAAGTCATCATTACAGCGAAAAAGTTTCTTTTGTTCAGGTTGTCGAGCGGGCAAATCCGAATGCTCCCAGGCTGACACAGCAACTGGTTGCGCCACATTTCGACAGTATTCTCTCTGACCACGATGCAGTTGAGGGTGAGAAAGTCGTGATGATGGTCACAACTCAAGGAGCACCACCTCCAGATGTACGCTTCTATCGCGACGGAAAGCTGATCTCTGACAGCGACAAGGTACGCGAAGCTATTCATCCCTGGGGAGGGGGAAGAACAAAAAAAATGTGTTATAGTATGAGATCCGTCACGAACCAGAGCCCATCTACAAGCACTGGCTGATTCTGAAGAACGCTAAGAAGACGGAAGAAGCAGAATACGCTTGTCAAGCAGTGAATCCCGCTGGAGAGGCTTGGTGTTACTCTGATTTGATAGTGCGACCTTTAGGTTTGCATTTTCTCTTCACAGCAATAATATCAAGCTAATAAAGTTCCGTTTAAGATAAGGATTCCTCATCAAATGAAGTGGAGAAAGCAGAAAATATTGCACTCGTGCGGTCTGAAGAGAAGAATGAGGCAATAGAGGAGTCGACATCGAGATCGCCACCTTCTCGACAAGTAGCCGAGGTAAAGCATTTTCCGTTGGATCCGTGACTACACGAAACAACTCCCACGATTCTGCGGTATTCTCGTTTCTCTGGAAGTTACAGCGACTTCACTCTACGGGCTCAACTTGTTTGGGTCATGGGTTTTATTCCCAGTTGAAATACCCTAAATCAGCAATCTGGTTGGAAACGTGCGCCACGGGATAGCCTGACCGCCTAACACAAATATCGCACGTCCATGGTAAATTGGGAAAGCTAGGTGACAGTGGCCTCCCACTCTTTTTACATCCTAGACTCCTTTGAGCCTTTCTGCTCGGACGGCACCCTTCCTCGAGTTAGTGATACCTCCCTCTATTGAGTTCGAAGTGTACACTCACCCCCGTAGATCCTGGTCCTTGCCATCTGCGAGGTGTATGGGTCCGCAGCTTCAGTAGCGTGCCACTGTCTCCACAACAAACTGCACATGAAGGGGCTGGAGGGCTGTGGCAACCCGGGGGAGCATCTCCATAGTGTGCGCCCGTACTGCTGCACTAGCAGCCGCATGGTCTGAATGGCCGCAACGCGTTCCATTCTGAACTCTTTGCTTAAACGCTCCAGTTCTCTCTCGCACAGCTGAGCGCATATAGGCTGGTGGGCGAGGCCTTGGTGGCAAGGCGCATACACTTGAGGGTAGGGGCGGATTAGGGAGAACGACACGCATATTATCAGACTCTCCATCCGTTTAACCGCATCGCACTTTTAACGCGGAAAAACGCTTTTGCAGCTGCGAGACCTATTCACTGGTGCGACCGTCCCTGGAGGAGAGAGTACAGTTTGTCCGTTGAGGCTGAGCATTAGAAGAGAAGCGTTACTATGGTACGCCAGAAGAAATCGTCTTTTGTTATCACAATCACAACTGTGTGAAGAACGTTGTCCAGCACCCCTAATTGCCTTAGCACTCCCCTTGCAAGAACGCTTGGGTCCGTGTTATGGTCGCCGCCGTCACACTGTACATATAGGTGGCGCCTATGGCGCTGACACCATACGGTTTCGTGTCGAGCAGATGTGCTATTCGTGTTAAGGACCAGGTCCTTAGAGCAACCCCTGGGGCCAGATTTGCAGGTCCGTGACCTAAATTTTGAAAACTGAGGTTTTCCAGGATAAACAGCTCGTCGAAGTTTAGATTGGAGGGGCAAAACACCTAACTCACGTTTTTCCTACTTGACCAGATACTGTGGTGAATGAGCTGAAGTTCCCATTGAGTCTAAAAAAACTCAAGTTTATTGAACCTCGACTGCCTTTACACATCTTTCTGTAGATGAACTTCCAAATGCAAAAGCTAAATAATGCGTATTGTTTCAGAAAGCAGCTATTGAGAGCGCTGAACGAGAAAAGATCGAAGAGAAAGACGACAGCAGCCAGAAAGAAGCAAAGGAACCAGAAGAAAGAGGCTGCAGCCGTGAAAGAAACAGCTCCAGAAAAGTCGGTGCAGTCTTCAGAAGCCTCCTGAAAGAACTGAAGCAAAACAACTCGAAAAGGAGCATGAAGTGCCATTACCTCAAATGAAAGTTCGAGAAGGAAGGAAAGCCGATGCTGGCGCGAAGAAAAAGAGCGACCTTCTTGACGATGACAAATTATCATCTGCTACTGAGACGAAGAGCAAGGACGATGATAGTAAAGAGGATAAACTTGCCGGAAAAGACGTGGGAAGAGAATCAGCAGCGGATGGAGAACTGAGTAAATCGAAACGAAGGGAGAATGATGTGGAAAAATCAGGAGTTCGCGAGACTACAAAGGATATTCCCAGTCCAGTCCGTCGTGAGCCCTCACCTGATACAGCTGGTAAGAAGAAAAAGAATATCCCGAAAGCGCTCCTGATTCCAACTCAGATAAACTCTCGATTCGGTGATCCGAGCATTCTTCATTCGGAAGCAAACATGACGACAAGCATAACAGCTCCTGAAAGTTCTGCCGAAGTCAGCTCACCTATCAAACAGCCACAGTCGGCGACCATTTCCGCGAAGGTCAAAAGCGCCGCACGGAGTCGGTCAGCCAGCGGAACTCGTTCTGAAGGGGAGTTCACGTTCAATATGCAGCCAACCAGTGGCAAAAGTACTGAAAAAGAAGCTTGTGCCACACTCAGTCTTAAAAGTGAAGTCAGAGACAAAGCTGGCCTGCCTCCTGTACACACCAAAAGAGCCGTGAAGAAGAAAGACGAGAGAGATGATACAGTCGCATCCGAGAAATCGGAGCTGACCGATAGCAAGAAGGCCTCTGATTCTCAGCATGGTGAAACTGTTGAGGGAGTTCAGGAAACGGAAAAGCTGGATGGAGCCATGAAGGCGGATGCGCCCGTCGACTCAAAAAGTGTTGATGGCTCCACGAAAGAAGAAGGGCTGAAATCTGGGTCCGAATTCGCAGAGCTTGTCTCTGAGACTGGCGATCAGTCATCATCACTGGAGATTGAAAGCGGCCGAGACTGAAGGAGAGAAGAAACGATCCGAGATCGTTTCCAAAGAGGAGCAGAATAAATGTGACT